GGCATACTATGATGCTAGCTTTGCTTAACAGCATAATAATGCATTTTCTCTGCTTCTTTGGCTTTTGGACTGGTGGTTGAAAAAAATTAGATTTTGACGGACATATTCAGTAAATTCTGACATTGTATTGATTAAATAATTTATTGAATAATAAGAAAACAATTATAAGATTAGCTGATGAAGAAAATAATAGTTATTTGCTGCCCTTTCCTTGTGTCCCATTTTACTACCAGTTTTGACTGAAAAACAGACATCCAGGCATCCATCTAAGATCTGTGGTCATGTAGTGTAACGGTAATATTGGATGGACAACAAATACCTGGGTGTAGTAGTAGGATTGAGACTCACTAGATGAAGGTGGAGGAAAGCTGGGCTGGATTTAGCTGATGTCCTGTTTTGTAGAGTCACCTGACATGCCAGTCCTCAGTAGTGGGGGCTCTATTAAAAAAGGACCTTTATGGATGGCTGAACAAGAACCTTCTAATCGGTATGCTCCCTCCAGCTGAAAGCATCTTCCTGCTGCTGTGAAGTTCCCTCTGTACTGCTGACCTTAATGTTGCACAGAATAATGGCATGCAAGTCCCAGAGGAGGAAAACAGTAGAACCCCTGTGTTCCGTCTGTGTGTTTGTGGAGGTATATGAGATGTGTTTACCCAGCCAGCACACTCAAAATACCTTCCCGATATTGATTCTTCAGGCTCCTGAAAAAAATACATTTTAAAAATTATTTTGTTACTGCACTTGGTATAAATCAGTTCAATTGTATGTATTTTTTGACATATAAAGCAATGCAGAGCTATTGAAAAAAAATAATCACACACACCCACACAAAGGAGCTGTTCCGTAAAACCACAGTCCTACACACAGGATGGTGAGCAGCTCCCGTAGAGCATCTGGGAGACAGGTACCATGCACAAAAGCACCTTGACAACTTTTACTGATGCAGTTTGCCAATACATCTGGCAAAAAAAATTACCTTTATATGCACATTGCCCAGTCAAGTGGTCTCCTCGCGATATTCTTCCCTGTCCACAACTAAAAATCTATATTCTGTTTCTTTTAATATTAAACATCTGTCGAAAAAGTGTCAGGTTAAAAACTACAAAACAAATCCTTCCCAAGTTTTTAAAATCCATCAATAGTTGAAAATATAGGGATGTTATATTCCACAGCTTCATTATTAATGTAGTCATCACGTCAACCTCGGACGTTATTGTTAAGAGTGCAGCAGTATCGTTCCAGTAGCATGTAGTAGTGGGCTATAAACATTCTTGGGCAGTATGAAGGGTGCAGCGTTGCCTACCACCCCCTAGTAGCTTCCCCATCACCTACATCTTTAGATGCAGGAACAACTGTCACAAACACAGCCCTCTTTATGCACTCAGCACAGACACATCTGTCATTTGATATTTGGCTCTTGCTAAGCTTAGGAACAGCTGCAGGGGCACAGGAAACATAGAACGGGAAAGCTACTGTCTGCGTGAGTGGTCTCTGACAGCTCCTCCTGTTGTGTGAGTTTCAGTCCCCTTTTAGGATTTGAGCTTCTCTCTCTCTTTTCCTGCAGCCCAAAAAAAAACTCTTCAGCCACGGCAAATGCAAATCAGCTCGTTCATTCATAGGAAAGGTTTCTAAATAGGGTGAAATTTTGAAGTCAGGACACGGTTCCGCTCAACTTTCTTGCATCATCTCTGTATGCATTTTATGAATCCTTTATGCTCTGTATGCAGGCACTCTGCTGACTTTTGGAAATGAGGGGGTTTGTTTTGAGAGGAAATAAAAATATGATGCAGTGGAAATGTGCTGCAGATCTTCCATGATTTCCAAATTGTCTAAGGATTTTGTGAAGCCCCGCCAGTTTTCCATATTTGCTGATTCCTTGAGGAGAAACCTAATTATGACAAAATGTCCAAACACTCACAATTCCCACTCCATCTTCCAAAAGTCCTTTAACACCACTGAGCTACTGTAATCCCTGCCAGAGAAACGTACCGTTGCCCGGGCAACCTCAGTCCCGCAGTCATGGCAGCTGTAACTATGGCAGGGAGACACAGAGTGCCAGGGTGGACAGGTGTTGCCGGGGTCCTCAAGATCACTTTAGGTCTCTCAGCCCTACATCCAATGTCGTTAACACATGTGGGGCAGCGCTAACAAGCAGCTCACACACAAGTACACTCAATACCCTGCTCCTCTATACTGCTACCCGAACATGACCCGAGACCGCTGAGTTACACTAATGTTCTGTGTCATGCTCATGTCGAATTAGACAAGCACATGGTTCTCTTGCCAGCTCGGAGCAGGAGGTCCGTGCCACATGGCTGCATGGTTGGTTTTTATTTTGTGTGTGTGTGTGTGTGTGTGTGTGTGTGTTGTATTTATTTTTTTGTCAGACAAGACAGACTGTAGGTATGAGAAATTCTGACTCATGTTCAGTGAAAAATGGTAACCTGCCGTGGGACAGAGTAATGGGACACTGCACAAAAAAGTCAAACAAGCTCTCATTACCTTTTACCCGGGCAGAACATGGAGCCCCCCGCTGAAATTGGTCCCAGAAAATTGTAAGGGGAAATATAATGTGTGCTGGTGGAAAGCAATAGCCAAGAGAGTGTCCGTTTAATAGCGAAAGCGTGTGCAGACCATGAAGGAAAGATAGTTATGTTACTGAGTCAGTGTGGCGAGGCTCAAAATGTCTATTTCAGGGCTTGCTTTAAGTAGGGTGAGTCACCAGGCTTTAGGAGCGCTAGAGACTGCATGTGTGTGTGTGTGTGTGTGTGTGTGTGTGGTTGTTTATGTGATACCTCTGAATTTCTCTTCACTCTCCTTTCTATCTCCGTCACACACACACACGTGCCAGCCCGGAGGGTGCAGGTCTGTGACAGGTTAGGCGTTTTGGGTGTGGGCCATCCTCTCCCTGTCTTTCCCTCAGCTCCTAGCAGCGAGCTGGCCCTCGCACAGGGACAGGCAGCGACTTCAATCTGTTTGGTAAATACTGAGATAAGTAAGGCCCACCCATCGCCATGGCAGAAAATAGCCCAGGTCAGACCTGCGAGTGCAATGATAGCATGCTGGGATGGAAAGAATATACCATCCAAAGAGAAGACTGTGAACGTAAATGAGCTTTTTGAAGATATTAAAGGGTGTGAAGGAAGTCCGAGTGACAGACAGACAATGGGAGAAAGAGAAATTGACTGAGACCGAGGGAGAAAAGCAAATGAGAGATGGAAACCGCCTCCTGCCGCCAGTAAAATGTCAATGGAACCCTGGGGATGCATTGATTAACCTCTTTACTCCTAATCTGCCTTCACCTCCTCCACCTCCTCCACCTTTCACTGAAGGCAAACACACAGCCTGGTGGTATATAGATGGACCAACTGGCCAGCTTTGTATAAACATGCCACAGAGCCATTAGAGCTATTTTCAGCTGAAAATTCAAAAGGACTGTGTGATGAGGTTTTAATTTTTTTATTAACCCTTGTGTAGTGTTCATATTTTTGTTATTCAGCCAGTGTTCGTGGGTCTGGTGGACCCGCTGCATTTTGGGGTTTTTAATTCAACACAATCAAACAATTTTATGTTAAAATACTCAACAGATGTTTACTTCATCCCAATTACAAGCAATATAAACAGCATATATGGTTAATATTTTTTTTTAAATTATTTTTACCTTTGTTAGATCACATTTAAGAATTAAAGTGCTACTCGTTTTTTTGTTTATTTTTTACTAAAATGACATAAAAAAAGTGTTGGTACTTCGATTTTGCAACAATGTTGCAACCTTGTGCGGGAACGGCAGGTGCAGAAACACAAAACTCACACAAAACTCACACACACACACACACACACACACACACACACACACACTGACAGGAGGAGGACAGAGTAAAGGTACACAGGACCTACAGTTTCCACACTTTTATTAGCCTCGGGTCCAGTGGACCCAGACATCCTGTGTGTAATGTAAATGTGTGGGGGGTGTACAGTGTGTTTTCATTGAAAATGTGTTCTGATATATATTCTTCACAGAAAATGAGCAAGGCCAAGTCTGAGTTTGAAAAAATAAATAATCGTATAATTTTTGATAAAAAATTAAAACGGGTCAAACAGACCCGAACACCATATGTGACCAATGACAGATGTATCTTTGTCTTTATCAGATTTTCTGATTTATTTAATTTTTTTAATCAGAGATTATATATTTATACATTTGGGTATTTAGGTGACAATAAAAACAAAAGCATCATGAAAATTTCCACATTATCTAGAATTTAATTTAGCTCAATTCAGTTTAGCTTCATTCAGTTTAATTTAAATCAATATAGGGCTGCAACTAATGACTAATTCCAATAAAAATTTATCTGATTATTTTTTTGAAGAATTTTAATAATTATTTGGTTTTATGAAGTATAACAAAATAGTGAAATTGAACACCATAATTTCTCAAAGCCCAATGGGTGTCTTCAATTAGTTTTTGTTTTTTTTTGTTTCATCAAAAGTCCAAAACTCAAAAATATTAAACCCTTAATGTAAGGACATGAATTAAGCGTCTTATCATTCATATGACTAATCATTTTAGCTTTGACTTAATCTAGTTTGTCTCTCTTACATGAGAAAAATCTATGGTACATAATTTAAAGTACTGTCATTAGAATGTAGGTGTCATGTAACAATAAGCAAAAAGACAGTACTGACATTTAATTAAAATTGTATTGCTTTGTGCATATGTGAATTGGTTCTTGCAGTAAAATCTGCTGTGTAAAACTTACATTTTCCAGTGTTGAACATCCTGCTATTTCATAATATTTTGTAGTTTCTTGTGCAAAGGTGCCTACTTGATGGGAAGAGGTTGTATTAATTTCATTGTGGCTCACTATAATTGCCCATGCATTCCCTTTCAGTTAAACGTTTTTCCTCACTTTAATCCAAATATTACATAGTCCTCTAATTACTTCAGAGACTAACTTTCTCCATCTTCCCTCTCCCTGTTTCTCTTCTGTCTCTGGCAGTTTGCTCTCAGTTCTCCAAAGGTGTGTATGCCATCATCGGCCTATATGACAGGAAGACAGTCAACATGCTGATGTCCTTCTGCGGAGCACTGCATGTCTGCTTCGTCACGCCGTCCTTCCCCATCGAGACGGCCAACCAGTTTGTCATCCAGCTGAGGCCCGAGCTCCAGGACGCTCTGGTGGGAGTGATCGACCACTACGGATGGACCAAGTTTGTCTACATGTACAGTTCTGACTCAGGTAGGAAACTTAACTTAACTTATTCACCCTTTATTTAGTTCCACATCATATAATATGTTTGGCATACTCCTTGTTATTAGATGCATTTATGTTTGATAAACACATGTCTTTTAAGCTTACGCCATTATTAAAAGTAAGTGTGGCATCTGACATGTGAAAGTTTTCAATTAATTATTCTTTAAAAAATATGCTTATTTTAAATACATTATCATCCTCGTTCTTCTTTGAATACCAGCATCTAAAGATTTACTATGGGATTTCTTTCAAAAAGGCACAACCAGTCGTTAAACAAACCACCATTAGCCGTCTACATATTGCCATGGCGACAGCAATGGGGTCAATCGTAGCCATTGTTCAGCAATGAGCAGCCACCAGAGTTTTTTTTAGACCACTGTCTTTGTGCAGACAGAGAACACAGAAAAGAAACATTGACCTGCACGGACTAGTAGATAAATCACACAATGGAACAAAAGATTTAGCTTTTCAAAAAGCAGTTCTCAGCAGTAAACCCATGTTGCATCAGTACCTTTGTCAGTAGCATGCCACAGGAAAAAAAGAACAACACAAGAAATGCTGTAGTGTTCAGTTTAAACATCTTAATAACACTCCTGCAGAGGCAGACAGAAATACAACAGCACACCTGTCAGCCTCCTGCTTCCTCCTCTTCCTCTTGTCTCTAGCCAATCAGATACACTCTTCCCATAAGGCCATGCCATATGTCCCAGGTGTTGTGGGTTTTGGAGCATGACTTTGCAGGGTGTATTTTTTGCATGTGTGTGCCCCAAAGCATGCACACTATATGTGCGCATTTTGCACACGGAAATTTGCATGCCTGCAGTACAAGGGCTTATTGCAACTTTTGTCTGCTCATGTTTTTGACTTGTCTGAGAGACGTACGCAGACTTATGTCAGCTTTAAAAGACAGATGCCATCATGTCACTCTGCAAAGCACAATATCGAGTGCTCACAGGAGAGATTTCACAGTGGTTTCTGGGTAAAGGCTGTAGCTCCACACAGATCTTTTGTTATCCCTTCATTATCCCCCACAAACTGTTGGGTATATGTGTGTACTTGTGTGTGCAGGGTCACCCCTGTGTGATTGAGTAGTGGGATGGAGCCAGTGGAATTTGTATCAGTAGTCCTCTGTTGCCTGGATACTACTCTGTAGTCACCCTTCCTACGGGGTTATTTTAAGCCTTTTAGAAAAATCATATTTACTTGTGAGGAATGTGTCTGGTATGGTGTTTGTGTGTGTGCTTCTTCCAAATATTCTTTCAAAGTTTCTTTTTCTCTTTTCTAGTCCAAGATACATTTGATATTGTGTGTTTTAATCCATTATCTGAAGTAGACAAGGACATGTATACCAAATGTATTGTCACTATCCTAGCATCTCAGGAGCTTTAATATTTCCCGCCCTTTTTTCTATGAAGATCTGTCTTGCGGTCTTATTGTACTGCATCCGCTAATAAAAGTGCCTCTCGTTTTTATTTTCAAAAGCCAAGAACGGAAAAACAAATTTGATAGCCCATTAAACCTATCATAAACAATATTCAGGAAACGGTTTCCCCAAAGTGTTATTTTCTCTACTCTCGATTGCCTGGTGCCCAGGTCTCCATGTATTGCCTCTGGCCAGATGGATGCTTATGACAGTCAGATTCCATTATGAAATTATTCTCTTCCATGATGCTTCTGGAGGACCATTTTTACCTCGGCCAGTACCACGAGCCTACCTGTCAGGCTGGCTCTGATTTATAGGGATGCATCAGCCACATTTAAAAAGACAAGAGGGTATTCAATGCAAACATGATGAGACCAAAAAAAAAGGAAGAAAGCAGGGAAAGAATGGAGAAAAGATGGAACATATGAATAGATAAGAAATGTGATAGTCCAGCCACACTAATAACACTGGAGGAAAGTTACATGTGTAAATACACTACAGTACAGAACATTCACAACAGTAAGTGTTAATGAGATTCAAACACTAATTTTAGCCTGTGTATGACTGCTGCCCAGGTGTGTGCTCAAGTGCTGGAACATAATGTACATATGCAGAATATTAACAAATAAACACACAAAAACATTAGTAAAAGAAGTAAGATACCAAAACAAAAGAATGAAAAGATTTTTTAAATGTGAACTGCTTTAGTGGGACAGAGCCTCCCTTTCAAACTGCGGTGTCAGATTATGGTGCATGGCGCTGTCCATGGTGCTGAAACCTTTGCTGACACCAAGGCTCGCCTCCATTCAAAGAGAGCTGTCCATTCTCCTGCAGACCCACTGACCTTATTCACCGCCATGATTAACTGCCTCCTGTGTTCCCGTACCTATCATCAGTTTCACAGCCATTACATCTGTCAGCACCAAGGACTAAAATTATTCATTCGTGAGCAACAGTGAATGAAAAGAGACACCATGAAAAGTGCCATACGTCCCCATGTACCTTTCCAGATACTTCGTCAACCTAACCATTTCTTTTGGGTATCTGATTTATTTACATGTGCCGTACCCTACGTGGTCATATGTGGAGGTGAAGCAACAACAACGATCCATCTTTTCATTTTTTTTAATGACCTGGTGTCAAATAGACAGCATGAATTGCCTGGAGAACAGCTGGTGTGCATTCTAATAGGGCCAGGCAATCATCTTTCAGAGGCTATGACTGCATTTCTTATTCTCCACTTGACAGGGTCTTTGTTGTTGTTGTTGTTTTTGTTGTTGTGGATAAGCCATTTGTACATTTGCTCAGTATGCATAAAATGCCTGTATCAACATGAACAAACAAGCATGGAGGATATGCAAAACGCATCATGTATAGGTCCACAGTGGCTTTAAAAGTGCTTGCCAGCTTAGTGGAGGAAAAACAAATACAGCTACATCATGTATTAGTTTACATTTCTAAATTTTGTAATTGCTATAATTTATTTGGGTAATGGCTGCCAGACTATTGTGGGTGAAATACTTTATTTACTCTGTGGAACAACTGTGGCTGCCAGCTCAGGGGAATCTGATTGGCCTAATGCCAGCAGCAACGGAGTACAACAGTGAGTCAGATTGTAAATCAGAGCTGCAGATCAATGTGTTCTCTAATCACCTTTTATTTCCTGTCTTAGCATGAGCCCTTAGCTCATTGGTTGCTCTACCCCTTTCTCTATGATGCTAAAGTGTCTCAGCAGCATTTCGATGACAGTGTAATTGAGTAACGCCAACTATAATTGGTGCTTGGAGGACGTAAAACTGGCTGTGAGTGTGTTGTATGTGATGATGCACGGGCTGATTATTTGTTAGCATGAAAGTAGTGATTATTTAGCCCGACGCTGTACAAGCTGGAAAAGCACACCTGTACCTGTCAGTTTGTTTAATGAACTGTCCCACTAGTTGTACTTTATCACCGAAGCTACAGGGGAGATTCTGATGGATTAACTTATCAAGAGCAGTTTGGTTTTCTGTACAGCTTCTTTTTTTGCTCCCAAGCTGCTTTAATTTATCTTTCAGCGCATAATATAACTACAAACAGTATAAGATTACCTTGCACATAATGTATGTCTCATCCTGCCTAATAAAATATAGACACTTAAAGATCACTCAAAAACTGGTCGTTCATCACTCCCTTCATTGTAGATTTCCTTTGCAGACTGTGGCTCAGGAGGTAGAGCGGGTTGCCCACTAACCAGAAGGTCGGCGGCTCAATCCCCGGCTCCTCCAGGCTGCATGTCAAAGTGTCCTTGGGCAAGACGCTGAACCCTGAATTGCCCCTGGTGGCTGTCCCACCAGTGTATGAATGTGTGTGAATGTTAGTTTCTGTTTGAGCACTTAGGCTCAGTAAATGAATGTGAGTGAATGCAGATGTAGTGTAAAAGTGCTTTGAGTGGTTGAAAAGACTAGAAAGGCGCTATACAGAGCATTTACATTTAACTTTTGCTGTAAATGCCCGCAACAGTTAGCTAGAGTTTTACCTTTCTCCGCTCTTCTGTCTAGGTCTGTCGGTGCTGCAGAAGGTTCTGGACACAGCAGCAGAGAGGAACTGGCTGGTGACCTCGGTGAATGTGGAGACCATGACGGAAGCCTCCTTCTTGAAAGTGTTCCAGGATTTGGACAAGAGGAAGGAGGGACAGATTATCATTGATTGTGAGACTGAGAGGCTCACTGGCATCCTTAAAAAGGTAAAGAGCTTTTCCCTCTCTTTTGGCAGTGATAGGGGTTTATGTAATTATGTTGCAATATATAATGCAATTTCAGCTCACAAACTGCAACCTTGTAACAAAATAAAACCGTACTGTATGTTATGCATTAGCTTCACATAATACAAGTAGGAATTTTACATGATCAGTGATTTTTTCCTTGGACCCATATCAAGCTTATAATAAACTGAGTAATTAGCCTGCATGCTATGTTAAAGGACTTAAAAATACATAATACATTAAAATAACACACACTTCAGAACAAGACTGTGCATGTTTTTATCAGATGAACAAAGAGAGAGACAGAAAGAGAAAGGAGGTAATATAAATGGAAAGTGGGGATTGGTTGGTGGTCTGCTGTGGTGTTTAGTCTCCCGGAGCATCAAGGACAAGAGAGATAAATAACGCAGCACTGGCATTTAGAGTTGGCAGTTCTTCTGTGATAGGATCATCACTTACTCACCTCTATACTGTTGAAAGGAAAAACATCTTGGCACAGCTTAACAACCGTAACTAGGCTCGGCAAGCTTTGGATTTCACTGGTTGTTGACGCGGGTTACATTGGGCTGTAGAAAGAGTTATACTCAGCATTTAAATAGTTTAGATGATGGTTTCTTTTTTCTAGTCTTTCTAAAACAAACACAAGAGCAAAACGTGTAAGAAATTAATTAAACAGTGTTTGTCTGCTCAAACGTAAAGTACAAAGTACAAGGTAGATTTATTTGTCACATTACAACAGATTGTGAAGTTAAATTGAGTTTGTAACTCCCTTCTGCTATGTAGCAGATAATAAACCATAATATAAAAACTATTTTAGAAATGTTAAACAGAAATAAACTATATTCAATGGAGCTGTGCTTAGGATGAATTTGAGTTTAAGAGCCTGATAGCTTGGGTGGCTCTGCAGTCTGGTGGTGTGGCAACAGAAACTCCTATATCTCTTCCCAGAAGGCAGTGGGGTGAACAGGCTGTGGCTGGGTGGGTACTGTCCTTAAGTATCCTTTGGTCTCTGCGCAGGCACTTCACCTCACCGATATCACTGATGCTCAAGGAGATGGATACCAATGATCTTCTGAGCAGTTTTAATTACCCGCTGCAGAGCCCTCCGGTCCTGGGCCGTGCACACCTCATGCCAGTTAGTGATGTTTCCAGTCAGGATGCTTTCTGTTGCTCCTCTGTAAAAGCTGACAAGATCTTGGCACAGGAATTGGCCTTCTTAAGCTTCCTCAAGAAATACAGTCGCTTTTCAGGAGGAGATGATAGATGACCATGTCAGGTTCTCTATGATGTTTATTCCCAGGAACCTGAAACTGTTCACCTGCTCCACCTCAGCTCCACTGATGTAGACAGGAGTGTGTGTTTTTATCTCCTCCTTCCTAAAATTAACAATCAGCTCCTTAGTTTTACTGACGTTGAGCTCTTGGTTGTTCTCTGTGCACCACTCTGCAAGATTATCAATTTCCCGATATGAAGTCTCATCGTTGTTTGAAATCCGGCCGATAATGGTGGGGTTGTCCACAAACTTCACAACAGAGTTCTCTCCATGTTGGGGGATGCAGTCGTGGGTGTACAGAGTGAAGTGTGAGCACTAGAGTGGAGGAGGTGTGTCTGCCAATCTGAACTGTCTGGGGTCTGTTTGTGAGAAAGTCCAATTTCCAGTTACAGAGTGTTATATTTAAACCCAGAGTTAAGTTTGCTGATCAGTTTCATGGAGCAGATTGTGTTGAATACTGAGCTGAAATCCACAAACAGCATTCTGATGTAGGTGTTGTTTTTCTCAAGGTGAATGAGGACTGAGTGGAGGGCAGTGGAGATGGCATCCTGTGTGGATCTATTGGTTCTGAAAGCCAACTGGTGAGGGTCCAGGCTGGCTGGGACGTTGTTCTTTATGTGCTGAAGAACCAATTTCTCAAAGCACTTCATCAGAATGGGGGTGAGAGCCTCAGGGCAGTAGTTGTTCAGACTAGATACTGCAGACTTTTTAGGTACAGGAACAATGGTGGCTGTCTTGAAGCAGGTGCAAACCCTCTCCTGAGACAGTGAGATGTTGATAATGTCAGTAATAACATCAGCTAGCTGATTGGCACAGGTTTTTTGTACACGGTCAGAAATGTTATCAGGCCCAGCAGCTTTACTCATATTCACTCTCTTCGCCTGACTGGGTCCTCTGGAGGTGGAGTAGACTTTCCAGCTGACTCTTTATTGAGGAGATCAAAGAGAGCATAAAAGGTGTTTAGCTCATCTTGTAATGTGGCCTCACACAAGATGGGGGCACTCCTGTTTGTGATGGCTTGCCACATATCTTTGGTGTTGAGGTCTCTCTCCAATCTCTACTGATGCCTCCGATTCGCCTCCTTGATGCCAGCTTTCAGTCTCAGGTGCTGTATCACCCGACTGAAAAGCAGCTTTTTTGGCACTGTAAAGAACCCTCACCACTCCATTCATCCAGGCCTTCTGATTGGGGAATGTTATTAACTTAGTAATCACAATGTACACGGTACAAGGCTGCATAACAAAACGAAATTTGGAGTTCACCGCATCATCAACACATTTGCTCACATGATGTCACTGATGATGTATATTCCTCAAGGTTGATTTGGCTCTCCTGAGTGGCAGCCCAGTTCATGACTAGCACATCCACTGTGTGGAAGCCGGTCCTGAATGCTAATAGAGCTTAGAGTAACATTACCAATTCTGTGCTGCTAGAAATTCCAGCAAGACTCATTACCCAAGGTACAGTAGCTAGCATACAGTGTTCTATTGTGCATTATTCCTCAACCTAAAAACCTTTTCTCTTGTAATATTGAAACATACTGTTTAAAAATACAAAAAAGTACGTAAACTATGAAGCCAAATAGGATTATGTTAGAAAAAAGAATACATTTTTCCTTATAATTTTTAAAGTCCTTATTTGAATAGCGCCAATTCATAACAGATGTTATCACATTACACCTTTCTTACAGAGCAGTTTTGACCGTACTCTTTGTAATATTACCTACAGAGAAATCTATAATCAGGGTGGGCAACCAACTGCCTCAACCAGTTGGGTCAAATCAAGTACCCATTGTTTCATGTCTGTGAATATTCTCAGTCATCCAGAGACATTGTCAACAAATCTGTGTCACATTTGCTTTTCCTGCCATGAAAAAGGTCTTGTAACTAGAAAGCTTGACAAGCATAGTGTTCATACATACACACACATGGAACTAGTTTATCCATATTGGCAATTGTATCGCCAGAAATATCCACACATTTGTTATATTTGTATACAAATGTCGATGTCACTTGTATGATTCATGAGTTTTCTGTCAGATTCGTATCTTTTCTTCTCTGTTCCAGTAAATTGTTGTTATAAGAAAAATAGCACACACACTAATGATGTTCATACACACACACACACACACACACACACACACACACACACACACACACATACACACAGTCCCCATCTGTATGTGTAGCCTATAGTATGCTCAGTGTGAATGTTATTGATGGCCCGGTGTCTTCAGTTAAGGTTATTGCATCAGTTCTCACCAGTTTACAGGAGCTGAGTCTGAGACATTCTCCATTCAGACGGCCACCATCAATCACCCACATCTGCTTCCCGCCTCCACACTACCCTTCCTGTGCACCCAAACAAAAAAACACACACACACACACACACACACACAAACAACACCTCTGCCTCTTTTGCCCTTTAAACTCACTCCTGTGTTCATCTCATATATCTCATACAGTACACAGATTCTCTTATGATAATGTCACTGAGAGCTTCCTGAGGGTCACTTCTCTTATAAGGTGAATGTTGATGTAGTCTCCTTGGAGAACATTTATCGTAACAAAGTAGCTACCTCAAAACCGTTTCAGAGTGTGTTTTCCAACAGAGAGACAAAAAGTGACCTGTTCTCTTGGGGCTGAACTCTGAATGACTCTTCAAATCTGCATTTATAATTAAAAAGCTACTCACATCCAAAGCATTTCCATTTGACGGCCCTCTGTGGCAGTACTATGTGTTTTCCCCCGGCGTCGGGTGTATTGGTGTCAGCGCTTGTGTGTATCTCTCCTCCTTCCCTCTAGTTTTTCCTATCCCAGGGCTCAGCCGCAGGGCCCGCCTTGTGCTGGGGTCACCATTAATAACAAATGCCACCTTCTGTCATGACCTACAGCATCATTAGACGCACACACACATAACACACAAACAAATGAGGATGCTCCCCGGAGTAGACACAAAGGAAAAATGCTCACAGAGAGGAAGAGGAGTGAAAATGTGTGAGGTCATGCATAGTGCCTGAATAGATACGGAGCCTCTTATCCGCTGTGCAAAGGCTATTAATTGGATGGTGCGTGACTCTGAATAAGCGCTGCCCACTGGGTCTTATTTTATATGACTGTCCAGTATGCTGTGATGACACATAAGCCCACACACATTTGTTATACAGTACACCAGGCTCTTCATTTAGGTGAACTAAACAGTTGCCTTGAGTGCTACCAGCAAGACGGGAGATTTGGTTTTTTTAATCTTACACCACATCTACATTCAAATGTCAGTCAAGTGCCCATTTCATTTATAAATAAACCTGTACTGGCACTACACTTCACCTCTCACTGTGATGTTCAGACTGCCCCGACCCCTCGGCGCTCGACTGACCTGTGACGCCGGCAGTTAGAGAGTGACAGCATGCAGCGCAGGCAGAAGAGAGACGGAGTGTAGGCGTGGGAGGTGGGCTGGTACACAGTTCAGCGCAGACAGACTTCATTATTTGATGATATTGTTTAGACCACAATGGAGTTTCAGGGAACTAGAATATTATAAGTTAGTTAAATATTAGTTCAAAGATCAAACCAAAGCTCCCAGGGGAAGAATGTTGAAAACAGAGGAGTAGGCGGAGGGAAGCAAATATAGTACAGTATACAGTATTATATTTACAAATTGACTGATAGCAACTTCTACAACATGTTAAAGCCTAGACAGTATGAAAATGCTACATGCAGTTTACATGTGTTTCCACTACTTTTATGTAATAATTTTCCTATTTTCATTTTTTTTTTCGTCAGTTTGGGTTGTTTAGGGCCCACTTTGACTTTATTTGTGGTGACACATCATAATTATAATATTTGTAAATTTGTTAGTTGCTTTTCTTTAACATATGAATAGTATTATTGGTGGAATATATATATATTTATATTCAGTTCAGTGTTTACTCCCTTTTATCTGATTTCTTGTTAACCTACTTTCTAGCTGTCCTGCACAAGGTCAAGTACTGTATATTGTTGAGACACTGTCAAAATCACTCTCTGTTATACACACACACACACACACACACAGACACACACTAACCAACCTGTCTTTGTATCACAGGCATTTTATTCTCAATCTCTCCTCTGTCCCTGTCTTCCAGATTGTTGAACAAGGCAAGAATGCGAAGAGCTACCACTACATCCTGGCTAACCTGGTAAGGGATTGTCATTTTAACACTCCATTTTTATCTATTCTGATTTCTTTGCAAATGTTCGTCATACGTGTCTACATACTTTCATATCTCGATTGAGTTCGCATTGCTATTAAATGTGCAAGATTCCAGACTTTCAGTACTTAATTGCCAATTTAATAGACTTACATGTGCCGAATCATTTAGCCTCAAACTATCTGATTTTATGTCTTTTATGTGCTCTCATCCCATTTCCTCTTCATCTATATATTTGCTTTACTGTCAGTCTGCTGCTGTGCTGCAGTTGCAGCACAGCAGCAGACTGACAGTAAAGCACTAGATAGAAACCTTGACAGTCACAGACAGAAATCTGTGCAGACTCACAGTGACAGAAAAAGGTCAGGTAGCCAATGTGTGCACACTTATATCCATTAACTGTCTTTGTCTGCTGCCATTTTCTAAGCGCAAATGGTATGTAGACCCCTAGAGCACAGTTCAGACTCACTAAATGCAACCAAATGAAGAGAAAATTGACATCACTAGAAGCTGTAGTAATAACAGCATTAATATGCAGCTGCTGGCTTAAACAATTTCTCACTGCTGGGGTTTAAGATTGGCTCAATCTTCCTTGTCTGGCCAGATTTAATTTTAACGGATAAGGCTCGTACGGTAATAACAGCTGATACGCAAAGTGGCTACAGTCATTTATAATGGGCCCATTAAAAGCTTTGAGCAAAAAACTGACTTGTTCTGTGTCTTTGCACCTTTTTCAAAATTTTCCTAATTTGCTTACTTGTGTGTACATCAGCAGCTGTGCGTGCATGTGTGTATGTGTGTGAATCTGAAAAACAGAGCATAGTGTGACAGTGCAATAGAAAAAAGAAAGAAGAATTTGAGTTAATAGTTCAATGTGTTTGAAATATGTGTCGGAAATACCCTCCACCCCACCCTCCTCCATGTCCAGTGTTAGCAAAGGCTAGTTTCTATAGTAACCTCTTCAGCTCACTGCACTGCATTAGCTCATACATGAAGCAGAAAAAGACACAACTCTGTTTGTTCAACTGAGAAATGTAGACACCTGGCAGCACAAACAGGTACATTAAGAAGACAGCGGTTCTTTGCATGCATTTGTTTCCTGAATTTGGGGCTAGCCTTAATTTTGTACCTGCCACCATGTCGACCGTCCCCAAAACCAGAAGGGTGTGAAACAATCTGAACGTTATGCTAGTTAACAGTCAGCCACTTCTGTTTGTCTTTACTCTTATGGATATGAAGATCAGAGAAAGTAAACAAGTTTGGGATAGACACATGGCCAAGAGAGAGCCGACGCTTCAAATGACATGAAACAAAAAACATCAGAGCAGAGAAGAAAAGATAAAGGATAGAAAGGTGTGTGTTGTCAGACAGATGCCTGGCGAGCAGGAGACAATCCAGAGAGACGCCGTTTCTTCTCATCAGTCAAAAGTTTGCTCTTAAATCACAGGCAAATCTTTTCTCCCTCTCTCCTGCTCTGTCTCTACTCCCACCCATTCCCACTTGTCTGCCTCTTCTTCTCCCCACGCTGACAGGCAGCCTGCTGAGAGACAGAATCTGCCTCTCCCACTCTCTGCCTTTCTCCATATAATAGTCATGGGGAAAAAGTACAAGTAGGAGATATCATTACAGTAAATCGCTTCTTTCTCCATTCTACTCTGCCTGAGGCTTCCTCTGTATTGTTCACAGTAGCCTATAAGGTTTTGATCCTGCCACTGTTAACAGTAGCCTATAAGGACTCAGTCTATCAGAGATTGGCTGTGGACTGCTCCCACCATAAAAAGAGTTTTTTTACTCTTGCCCCTCAGGAAAAACAGGGATGAAGTCTTCTCAATGGGATAACCTCTCTAAGTGAAAAAGAAGAATATGTCATTTTCATTATGCTTTTAACCCATGGACTTTTGGCAAAGTTAAAACAGTAACTACAATATAGTGCATTCTGCAGAATTACACTCTAATGCCAGGTGCTGTCTTTTTGCCTTATGACCGCTGAGGCGGAGTAATGCCTACTTGTAATTCTCTGTCACCGGTTGTATATTTCAACCAATAGGGCCAAGTCAACCAAAAAGATGTTTTTACCCTTGTTTAACAGCTGATACGCAAAGTGGTCCAGTGGTCTACAACCTCCCTAAGGCTGCAAAGATGGGAAGAAAACAAAACAAGTTTCTGTTACACAAAACCTTGTTCATTTGTTTCAGCTATTTTCTCAATATTTTCTGGTTAAATACTGGATATTTTGACCTCCTCGGGCTTCTGAAAATCTTTAAAATGAAAGAATCTATGAAGGAAATATCACTGTATGGACGTCTGAACTGCTTACAGCTGAAGTCCAGTCTGAGGCATAACTTCTGATGAGGGGTTGCAAGTAGGCATTGGTTCATTTTAGGGGGTCACAAGCCAAAAAGGTATGTCACTTCTCTGCCTGTCCACTTCCTGTCTCAGGGTTTCCTGGACATTGATCTGACAGACCTGAGGAAAGGTGGGGCGAACATCACCGGCTTCCAGCTCGTCAACAACTCTGAGCCCAGCGTCAGCCGTGTCGTCCAGCAGTGGATGGAGTTTGACAACAAAGACTCTAAAGTGCCCAAGAGTGGACTCAAAGTACTACCCCTTTTGCTCTCTGATCTGTCAAACTTTTCTTCTACTTTCATTTCCCTTCTTCTGTCTTTGAATACTTACTTAATTTGAGAGGTTGTAAAGCAGCACAGGATATGCTCGGAGTTCCTCTGTCCTGTTTAAAGTTACGTAAACTAAATCCTGATTTTTCACGTGTGAGGTTATCGTTACCAAAAACCAAGAAGGTTGTTATTTCCCCTGTCGGTTAGTTTGTTTGTGACTGTCAGCATCATATTGCAAAAAGTTATGAAAGGATTTCTATTAGATTTGGCGGACAGATAACCCTTGATTCCATCTGAGTTTGGCAATTCAGATCTGGGATTTCTGCTATTAAAGGATTATTGATTTGATTACAACTTGATAAAAAAACTGTCCAACTATTGATAACAACTGTCCAACCAGCTGAGATAGAGGATTGATTCCAAATCCAAATATGTGTGGTTTTACTGGTTACTCGAAATGTAAGTAATAGAATTGATGATCTTGTGAAAAAGCAAGCAAGGATTCTTCAAAGGTATTTCAGGGTTTGAAGTGTAGTTGATGTTTGAAGCCATAGCTGCCTTGCATCTCCTCAGACAAGACCTAAATCAATGTTTTTTTCTGTGTTTGCTCCTGTTTGAATTGTCTGCTCTCTCTTCACAGTACACAGGCGCTCTAACATATGACGGGGTGAAAGTCATGTCCACGGCCTTCCAGAATTTAAGGAGACAGAGGATAGACATATCTCGCAGGGGCAACGCTGGAGAATGTCTTGCCAACCCACCGGCTCCCTGGGGACAGGGCATAGACATCCAGAGAGCCTTGCAGCAGGTCTGCGCACATACATCGGAACATGCTAATGCGTGCACGCACGTACATAATACACCCGCACACACTTGCGCAAATTCTTGAATGGCACATTGGCTAACAGCTCTTGAGTTGGGGCTGGCTGAACAAATTAGGTCTCATTCTGTCATGTAAAGTTCACATTAAGTCGCAGGAGAGCTCTCCAGTATCAAATGTGACATCATGGATAGTAAACAAAACCTGCAGGCAATAACACCCAGCCGTGATCATCATGGGATATGACATCAGCAATTGAGTTTAGAAATTTAATATTTGGCTGTGGAAATAGAAATGCTGGACTGGCTGTGAGACTTCTTGATCTCATGGAGACACAGACACCCCTGCATGTCTCAAGGAACAAGGACAGTTGTTTTATTACATTTCAAACTAGATTTTAAAAAAGGCTCTGCAGAATTGCCAATTAAAAACACAAATAGAAGTCTAACGTGTCATTTATTTACTCTGGAACACCATTTACCTAAAGTATGGAGGCAAAATAAATGCATTATGTTTGTGAGGGCATACATGTAATTGCATGCGAGTGTGAGTGCGTACGTGCAACCCGAGGCTCTGTCTGCAGAGTGGCTGTGCAGAGGCCCGCGCAGTCAATCCAGCCATCTGCCTGCGGATAGACTGGAGATTGAAGCCGTGTTCGCTCAATTAACTCCATCACACAGCCAAGACAAACACACTGCGCTGTACACATACACGCACACCGTCTGTCATTCACCTCTGTAGGGACCAAGGCACTGTGGACATTCACAAAAGAATGCTATACAAACACATGCAAGCTATGCTTAACATGCATCGCCTGTAAGCACGACATGCAAATGTGTGCTGCCAGTGCGGACATTAAGAATGGATTGACTACATTAATAACATGTTTTCACAGCAACCATTATTGACCCATGTATGATGTGCCATGTCAGAGCCTGTGAGTTACTTTTCCTAATATCTGTGCTTCCATTACAGGTCCGTATTGATGGATTGACTGGTCACATCCAGTTCAACGAGAAAGGCCGCAGAACCAACTACACTGTTAGCATCATGGAACTGGCTCCCTCTGGACCTAAGAAGGTAAGCCTGTAGCCTGAGGCACCAATATAAGATATTTATTCTTGCTCAAGGACCCTGTTTAAAAACTGTGCTTGCAAGCAATTATTGGAATAACCCTGTGGCTTATTTTAGGTCCAAGTCCAAGAAAGGTCTGGGCAAGGATTACACTTAAGAATGCTCTGATGTTCTTCAATGACACATTTATTAAGCGACTTACTCCTACAAGAAGAGTAACAATTAAATACAGATCACATGAATAAGTACAATTTTAATTTCTAAGAAAGATAATTGTATTTGTGTGAAATCCCGAAAAATCTCCAGCAATCAACATGTGAAATTAACAACAATGCAATATGTTTTATAATATACAGTGTCAGTATATAAATATGGATGAAATAATGGGAAATGATGAAAAAATGTCTGAAATTGAAACTTGTCTTAGGTTGGCTACTGGAATGAAGATGAAAAGTACGTGACTACCGCCAGCTTCATGAGAGGTAGCAACGAGACTTACGGCCTGCAGAACAGAACTTACATAGTCACCACTATCTTGGTAAGTCAGTATAAAATAGAGCTTGAGGGATTTGGAGGAGGAGGGGCTGGTGGGATGGGGGGGACCAAGACAGAGAAAGGCAGGGTAACATTTTTCATTTTCTTTTATGATAGAGTTCCTTAAAGTTCAGGCCCCGTAAAGAATTCAGCAGACATCTGTGATTGTATCTCCCTCCCGTCCTTCCCTTCCCAACTCTATTCTACTAACTTCTGTCTGTCTGACTGGAGCCTGCCCCGAATCAGAATCGGGATCACTTTATTTGGCAACTGCAAGTATGGAAGTTTGTCTTGGGGACACACTTTGTCTTACTGACTCGCAGAGTTCCACTGTACATATTTACGATACATTTAAAAGACAGCACAAGGACAGCACAACCTCATGCTTAATGTTGAGAAACACAAAGTAAAGAAAATCACTGGGGAAGTCGGGAAGTGTCCCGAAGTGCATTCGTCATTATAGTAGTAATTATACAGTACTAAATAAAACTGGAGAAACCCCACTTCTGAAACTGTGAAGTGTCAACGTGTTCTTCATTTTTCTGTCCTCCAATGTTCTTTATTTGGCTCAGATGTCACCATCAGGCTGTTCAACATGACATGGCCAGATTGTGTTAAGTGTCCTGGCCTACATAACAGAGATGGAGCTTCAGCCAGTAAAGGAGGTTGTGACTGAGAATAGGCCAGCAACGATATAATCTGGCAAGCTCTCATGGCAGCTAGGTTATCATGACATTTTCTCCAAAGAAAGGCACATAGCTGGAAACTACTGGCTAATAATGATGGCAGCATATCTTTGTAGGCACAAGGTGTTCTCAGTGTTTGTATATTGTTGAAATTTTAATATCAGAGAAATATTCCATGCCTGTAGATGCCTGGAGCCTAGCACTGATTCTTTTGGACTCTTGGATATATCTTTAGCGCATGTCTTTTATCTCTTGAAATCACTGCTGCCATGTATTTTTGTTGGACTTGGAGCAGATATATGTAACTATCCAATACATGGATGAAATGTGTAAAAAAATAAAATAAAAAGCTAGCATCAGCAGAAAACAGCTGAACATTATCAAGTGACATTACTAATGAGAATCATCAAGTAAAGCTGCATTCATGTCATATCATACAAGAACCCGAGTGGGAAAAACTCTTCACTACAGCCTCTTCATTGGGAAATTCTGATGGCCACTGTATTTCCTACTTGGGGGGAATAGATTGTGAGTGGTTCAGTCTAAATAAACCCTAGCATTAACACACATACAATCATTTCAGCTAATTGGAAGGGCACTACATAGCGTACACAGCTTGTTTATACCTGATTTATCTTGATAACAAAGCACTAGAGATATGTAAGACAGTAAAACTATTTTATTTAGGCTACATTTATATGTATCAGCTTTGTGTACAGGGCTGGCAATGTGAGTAACCAGGTTTGAAGGATATATAAATACTCCCAAGCCATGCCAACATTTTCTCAGCCTTACTATCTACCAGCATGCATAAGTCCTGATGCAAAAAAAAAAAGTACTGTGCAAGTAGCCTACTGTACACGCGCGCGGTTAAGTTGTGGCTCGTTTTGAAGGTTTACAAACAATAGTCAACTGTAAAAGACCACACAGTGAAATGTTGAGACTGACTTTATGAAGTTTGGTTAGTTTAGTTAGTTTCATCATGTTGAGAATATTATGCGTCAGTCAGCCACACTTTTTGCTAATGGATGTAGTCGGTTGTAATTAGCGTGGCATTAAGCAACATAGGCAAATTAACTTAAAGTATTACTTTTGCCAAGCAAATGTAGCCGCAGTGGAAGCATCCATTCTGAGGAAGCGTTGCAGCGCATGCAGAGGACAAGCTCATGTAATAGGCCAGCAGTTCTTCCCCTGGGGGGCATAGCGCAACTGTAAGGGGGGTCATGGATGTTGTTGAGCATACTTAAAGTTGCATGAATTTGATTCATGTAGTTGCATAAACAAAAAAAAGGCTCTGATGCAAGCAAGGCTATATTGTTAACCTGAATCTTTTGTTTTATTTCAATCGCTCCAGTTGTTAATGATTGATCAAAATTAAATTAAAAAAGCTAGTCTGGCCTCCTCTCAGACTAGCTTGGTTTGAGGGCGTGCCTGACCCCCGCTAGCTGCTTGGCAAGCTTTATGATGCGTTTGCACTGTGATGTAACAAGTCAAGGAAGTGAAGGGCTGGACTACAAACGAGCTGTTTTCAAGTGGTTCAGAGCAGAGCTTTCTGTGGGAGATGGGAACTCCCTTTCGGCTGGACTTTGGGCTTTTTCACTTTGCAAACCTGTTACATGCACAAAAAAGATATATAACTCAATAAAGGAGAGGGAAAAAGCCAAAAAGCATAATGCCACTTCTTTAAGATGGAATGTTTTACCTGTTGTTCAAAGCATTAGTTGACGTGAATCAAGCAACACACCTTAAATGTCAATAGGACAACTCTGACTATTCTGTTTGCTTTTATTGGCTCTCTTTAGTAATGATTGGATGCAAGCACTCAAAAATGTATATGAATTTCAATCAGATTATGCAAACAATGAATATTCTATTTCCTCACTTGGCAGCACTACATCTCTGGTTATGGATAAATGGTTGGAATAGTTAGCTAAAAGTACTGGATAAATGGTGAAACTAGAAAGCCACAAATTATTGAAATAGTGAGATGAAAGTAGAGGATAAATTATTGAAACAGTAGCTAAAGGTAAAGGATGACATCTTGGAATAGTTAGCTAAAATGGACAACATCCATTAAAATAAATTTAAAGGAACACATTTGGAAAACTGCAGGTGAACTGTGAAGGTACATTATCCAAAAAGGTTGGGAACTGCTGTAAAGCATTTGGTACTAAACAAAACATGTAGTCTATTGGCATCTAATTAGAAAAATGTGAAAATCCTCATTTAAACCCGAAGGTTGCATTCTCCCTAGAGTACAGACCTAAAATAACTCTCTCTGACATAATCTCCTATCAGTGTCCCCTTTTCTAGGAAGATAAATTGCTTCTCTGTCTCAAAACTTAAGAGAAGAGATAAGGTGTGAACAGTTATTGGACTGTGGGGTAGCAGTGGAGTTTTTACACCGTATAACTTTTGTGCACACTGATTCGTTGCTGGAGAGAGTGTGTTGTTTTGCCAACGTGAAGGTATCACTTTGTGCTTTTCTACAATCCCTGCTGTCCCAGCCTGTGCACACAGACCAGGCCTGGGTTAACAGGAGATCTGTAGGAGTGGAGCAGAACATGTTTAATGGAGCACTCCAGCTCGGCGTGTTCACGATTGTGATTTTACACAAAAAAACAGGCTATGGCTATTTTATGGTATAGTTTTAGCATGCTTGGAGTTGATTATTCATGGCCACGCTGTGCTTTCAGTAAGAAATTGCACCAGGGGCGTTGCTAGACATAAAGCTCTACTGGGGCACAGGCCCCCATAAAATTTTTGAAAGTGTATGAAATGTGTTAGTATTTGCTTTACCAGCTTCCCTTGCTTAGCCCATTATTATTGGCACTGCCATGTTAGAAAGGGCTTTGACCGGATCATAAGCACACATACCTACCACCACCAGAGCCGGTTTCTGACCTCCCTGGAACCTAAGAAAAATTCTGTTATGGTGCCCTCCTACCTGACTCATGAGCCATGTAAACGATTTGCCATTGCTGCACAGTCACATCTGACACAGCAGTACTCTCACTGCAATCCTCCCTCTTCTGGTTTGAATGGACCTCTGCTCACTCACTCAGTCCTCATAAAGTCTCTTAAGACTGGGGCCAATCTACTATTCCATTAGGGTCTAAGCTGCTTGTATCTGATGCTGGCTGTACATCTATGGTTGTGCTAGTAGGCTACTGGCTGAGGCTACCTATATTTCACTCGGGTCTGTGGGACCTGCTAAAGAGGTCTGTACTGGGTCTGTGCTCATACTGGCTGATGATCCAGCATCTACTGACAAGCATAGCCCATGTAATTTATTGATAACAATACTTGCTAGATATTAATGTTATCAGCTCAATCAGGGCCACTCCTTTAATACATTTTCTATTGTGAAATTCTATATGACTTGACTGAATATGTGATGTTTATTATTTACTGAGAGATGTGCATCTACATGCCATGTCTGCCCAGCTAATCAACATTTTAATAATCGATAGTCAATGTGAATCCACAGCTTTCCATCTTGCATTAGTACAGAGTTGCATATAAACTTGACTGAGAGACAGATAATTACTGTCTTGTTTTAAAATGATGAGTTGCTATGAGGAGTGCCGTCAAACCTGTGTCTTGTGTGGACTGGTCCCACTTATGTTGCTGCTGGAATGCGCAAATTAAATTTCTTGCACGTGCAACGCGGTTACATTTTCCGAGGTGAAGTTTATAAACACTGTCGCCGGTTATCAAACGTAATAAAAAGTTGTATTTCAGAGCAAGATGCACTTCCCAGCTGGGTTAGCAGGACAGACAGACAGATTCACTGCAGCTAACACATTAACTTAGTGTTTTATTTTGAAAGTGTAACCGGATGTTGCGTTTTTATTATTGCTAACTTGACCGCATGTTGCAGATGTTTAATGCTAACTTGCCAAGGTGTCTTGACCTTGTTACTGGGGCACAGAGCATGAATACTAGGGCACGTGCCCCAGTAAAAAGTGTCTGGCAACGCCTATGAAGAACAAATTATGTACAAACAAATTCCCATGAGGTCTGTTTAACTTGGTCTCAGAGGAAAATAATTGGTTGATGTTTGCAATTAGTAAAACAAATCAAACATGTTAATTTCCAAGCATTTTGTTTTATTTTGTATACTTTAATGTGTGTTTACATTTGTACACATAATGTGTGTTCTTCGCAATATGTTCTTACATGTGTATTATGTTTAAGATGGATGGGTGACAGCAATCTCAGTGGAACTGTTTAAGGTCAACAAGACACGAGTCCTGGAGGATCTTCTGTATGCCATGCCATGTCTCTACTGTATGTGCACGTGTGTGTTTGTGAGTGTGAGTGGGTCAGTGTGTGAGGGCACGCATGCATACTCGTGTGTGTAGCTGTCTTTTTCTGTGACTGCAACTACATGCCCTGTTGAAGCACTACACGCTAGACCTTTCTCACCACTGTCTCCCTGGGGTGCCGTTTCTCTACCAGCGGGCCTCGGGTTTCTATGTGTAACAGTGATTACCTTCACCTCAACCATAAAGAGCAGGAGAGCCCAGATAACTGTAAAACACAGAGGAAACACCCCCATCTCTAGACCCTGATGAACTCTGATGGCAGGATTTGCTCAGCACAGCCTTAGCTAAAAGCAAGCACACATAACAACTTGTGGGAATTGAGGGCCTCCAGGTGCTGGTGGACAATTCAGACCGAGTTGGCTGGAATTCTATATGAAATACGTTTTTCTCAAAGTAAAGCGGGGCCCCAGGTGTCACGTCAGCTGTAATATCTGAGGACACCCAATCAGTGTGAGATGTACAAATGTCAGTTTGATATAACAAGAACAGCCTGGCCCTGGAGCAGAGGTTAGCATGTCTGCTTCGCCAACTACATGGTTCAAATATAGATACGTGCGCACACACACCCACTTATACTTTTTCTCTCAGATCCAACGTCTTCCCAGCTTTAATAATGTTACCAACACTCCATTTAATGTGGCAATACTGGTGAAATTATCATGCTTAGGCACCTTTTGTGTTTGAATTACACACCATACCTTCAAGGAACAAAGCCAAAATAATACCTAGCAATTTAATATAATTCTCTTTTCTGTCTAACCTTATACAGCAGCAACTGAAAAAAAACAATTGGGCCCAGTGAGATTTTTTTTTTCATCAAAGCCTCAAGGGGTAAAAAGATACGTGATGAATTGCACTGAAGCATAAAATGCATCCCTTAACATCCCTTCCCGCATGTTTAAATAGTAATATAAAACTTAACAACATGCTTAAGCTTTATTGTCAGCCATAATGCTGTCTCTGACTTAATTAGCTTAACAAACCTTTTGTAAAAGTTGTATGAGTTACAGTCACTACAGCTTGTGTCGTACAGCTTGTACATTTAATTTTCACATCAGTGAAATTTGCAATTATTTTTGAAACCGTTCAGTGGCTTCCTGTATATTATTTCTGACACCAAATGTAACGGAAATAAAATGTATGATTGTAGAAAAACAACCACGGTTACTTTACATCCGACAGGAGTCTCCATATGTGATGCACAAGAAGAACCACGAGCAGCTTGTAGGAAATGATAAGTACGAGGGCTACATTGTCGAGCTGGCTGCAGAGATAGCCAAACATGTGGGCTACCAGTACAAGCTGAAGATTGTTTCAGATGGCAAATACGGAGCCAGAGATCCTGAAACCAAGATGTGGAACGGCATGGTGGGAGAACTCGTGTATGGGGTGAGTGGACTGAGTTATGTGTTGGATTATTCCTCATTTAATGCTGAGAAATAGACATAAACTTCTAAAAGTCTAATCTGATGACAGCATGCTAACATACTTACAATGGCAATGTTAACATTCTGATGTTTACCACGTATAATGTTTGTTTACCATCATCACCATCTCATTTTGACATGTTAGCATGCTAACATTTGCTAGTCCAACTGCCAAACTTTGCCAACATTGCCATTCCTGGAGCCATTCAGCTAGTGAGGCTTTACTTACATTCTTTGCTGCATATTACATATTTTAGACCATAAAAGACTGACAGATCAATGACACTGCCTGCCTCTGTGTCTCTCCCTCAGAAAGCAGATGTGGCCGTAGCGCCTCTGACCATCACCCTGGTCCGTGAAGAAGTGATCGATTTCTCTAAGCCCTTCATGTCCCTGGGTATCTCCATCATGATCAAGAAACCCACCAAATCCAAACCTGGCGTGTTTTCATTCCTGGACCCGCTGGCTTACGAGATCTGGATGTGCATTGTGTTTGCCTACATTGGCGTCAGTGTCGTCCTGTTCCTTGTCAGTCGATTCAGCCCGTATGAGTGGCACGCCGAGGACTACGAGGAGGGAGGTGAGCCGCAGACTCCCACCCAAGCATCAGCTTCCAACGGGGTGCAGCAGGGCCAGACACCAGCGCAGCAGAACACCAATCAGCAGAGTCTTGAGCAGACCAATGAGTTCGGCATCTTCAACTCCCTTTGGTTCTCACTGGGGGCCTTTATGCAGCAGGGCTGTGATATCTCACCACGGTAAGAAACTGTGGCCACTAATTTTGATGCATTGCGTTCACAGTGCTTTGAGTCTTTTTTGCTGTTGTTTGTTGGTACACAAAGAGACAAAAAGCGCCACCTACGTACAATATATTTCTGTCTGCCACACCAACGCTTCAATGTGCTGTATTGCTTTCTTGTTCAACTCAGTTGGGCTTTGTTTATTGATATTTTGTTCTTTGCCAGTCACTTGTCATGCAGAGAAATGCTAAAAGTTTGATGAAGAGCAGCAGAGGGAGTTTATGATGTGGTCATGTTGAAGAGTGTTGTGTTTTCATTCTCCTGTCTCCAGATACGTCCTGCAGTGGTATAAACATGCCAAGAACTTCTAGGACTATAAAAACTTGTTGTTGCGAACTTGCTCCAATGTTTTCAAAATTTTAAATCCAAATCTGCCTCTCAGTCTATATGCCCATTGATATATCAATCTGTTGGTAAAGCTTAATATCACACCCTAAAAAGACAGTTATGAAGGATCTTGGTGTGAGTATTAAGCGGTATGTGTTGGCTCCCCTCGAGTGCTCTCATGAGCTGTGGTATGAAACCCTTCTCAAAAGGTCACCAATTAAAAATCTCATTAAGTGTCTGAAATTAGAGACACTGAGGTCGACTTTCTGAGCTTTCCAGAGGGACTAGCAGGAGGAGATGAGAAGATAATGTCAGTTATCACTGTAGCTCTGAACCAGCAGAGACAGGTTAGGTCATAGATAGACAAAGAGCTTCTTGAATCTTTAAACATTAAGGTAGAGATACATTATGTATACATGCTGTGAGATGGTGCACAGTGTGAGGGTGCACGTTTGCATAATGTATCTATACTGTAGTAACTATAGTGTGAGGATGGAGAGGCTGACGCCGCTGCTTTGAAGAAACTGAAAAGGTGATAATGTCCACATCTCCTTTAAATACTGATGTGCTCTCAACCACTGTTTAAACAACTTCAAATAAATTGTTTGAGATATTGGGAAATGTGCGGATTCTCTTTCCTGCTGAGAGTTTAGTGAGAAGATCAGTTCCACTCTCATGTCTTTACGGTAAATATGACCCTGGAGCCAAGAGACACTTAGGTTAGCATAAATAGTAGTAACAGCTAGCCTGGCTCAAGATGGAGGTAAAAAAAACACTCACTAGCACCTTAAGCTCACTAATGAACACTGTATATTTTATATGTTTCTTCTCATCCAACTCTCAATGATCAACAAGTTCAATGCTGAGAACACCACTAATGAAGTTTCATTCACCGTGATCATAATGGTGAACATCACAGAGTTGGATATGTCGAAGCCTGAGAAAATCAAACCAAAATATCTGCATGGCTAGATACCACTATGGGTTAGAAAACATGTTTTCTCGTGGTTTGGATGAACAGACCCCTGCATCAGCTAAGCTGATCAGTGACCAGCAACAGGAGGCATGTTGTGTTGCAAGGCTCCCCGTTCTGAATGTAAATATTTGTTTAGAGTGGTGTTACTGCAAAATAGCAGAAGGCTCAGTCACAATTCCCTGACTGAGTGGCTGAAGGTTAAAGACATTATAGTAAGGTGCAATACACAACATTTTTGTCCTGGCTTTTATCTTGTGACATTTACCAAATGTATTTTCACTTTGCTGTTACCTTACACAAATATCAGAAGGGAGAAAATCTCAGCACCTACAGGCCTGCATGCTGCAGGTGCTCAGTAGTACATGATGTAGGTCCTACTCCCACGGGCCTTCGCCTGACATTTACCATTTTCTGCCTGGAGACTCCGCTGTGCTTCATGCAGGAGTGTTCCTCTCCTATAGAGAGAAAATGCATCTGCACTAACTATTGATTTCCTCATATGCCTTACAGAGAGAGAGAGAGAATGTCACCATGCATCTGCAAATTCTCTCTTACCTATGGTTTCTCTTTCAATGGATCTGCACACACATGTGGGTTTGAAGCCTATGTGTGTGTATTTGTGTGTACTTCTCCATATGTGTGCTTGACCACACATGGGTTCATGCATATTTGCACAGTATTTGCATTTGGGGAAAAGCATCTCTGCTTATGCTAGACCTTTCACTGATCGTTTGAGGGGACAAAACAGATTGTTCCTGTACTTGTGACAATTCTGTTGATGCCACCTATGACTTCAAATTAACCAGTTGTAAGGCATACTGTATTTCATCATTAGTTTTAAAAACTGTAACAAGAATGTTAGATCCTTTTACCTGCCTCGGAGGGAGATGTGACATAGTAGCAAAATAGGTTTCAGGTAGACCAGAATATTTCCTTGGTGTCATCAGTGAGGGTGGTAGCTTTAAGGGCTCATATCCTCCAAGGACTTGAGTCAGATATTATCCATTTCTTTCAAAGTCCTTCCAAGGTGACTCCCACTGTCCCTTTTTGTGTCTTTGGTGAAAGACTGTTAGGGAGTCAGTATGGCAGCAAGAAAAAACTCCACGAGTCGGTTAGCAGCAGTCCACTGTGTAGTGATCATCATGGTGGAGTCCGCTTGGTGTCTTGAAAACAAACACGATGAATGTTTCACCCCACTGATGCTGCCCTGAAGGAAACAGCTTCCCCTTGAAAATGTGGGTGACCTAGTTGCTCTAGTTAGCACAGTGTGTATTCACACACAGAGGTGCATGTTGATGTATGTCCTAAAGCATTACGAGTTCCTCTGCTAGACTTAAAAGGACATGTAATAATATTGCTTGTGATTTTTTCAGATTAAACCAACAGTACTCGTAACCTCACACATTCTGTTGTCAGGGTTTCACGGACATAGTGTACCATTGCTATCGGGATTTTTTTATCTGGAAAAGCCTTTGGGAGAACATTTTTGTTCTTGTATGCATGTGAGCTTGTTCTTGTTTTTATATACACCGAACAAAATTTTAAACGCAACACTTCTAAAGATCTAAGACTTTCTCTATGCACACAAAAGGTCTATTTCTCTCAAATATTGTTCAACCTTTGCCAAGATAATCCATCCACCTCACAGGTGTGGCATATCAAGATGCTGATCAGACAGCATGGGTAGTGCAGGTGTGCCTTAGGCTGGCCACAATAAAAGGCCACTCACTCCCACTGCCTTTTAAAATACATCATCCGACTTCCCCCTTTTCTGCTTACGGCCACGAGAGGTCACAGCCACTATAAACGTAAATTTGGGTCGTAATAATGTGTTTCAACAAATGACCTATATGGTAAGTATCAAAAGTAAAAGTAGGCAGAATGCTACATTGTTATATTATTTAAACATTTTTAATGATGAATTATTAGTAATACTTAGCTGTTAGCTAGCTGATCATATGATTTGTATGTAGAAGTATAAAGTATAAAGAAAATACTAAAGTGCATGTACTTCAAAATTGTGTACAAGTTCAGTATATGAGTTAATGGTACTTATTTTCTATGGAAACCCCAAAGTGTACCTGTTCTTCACTTTTCTGCTAATAATCCAAGCTAGCCTAGCTAGTTAGCATTATGAAATAAAAAGTACTATAATGAAATGAAATTTAATTCAAATAAAACAAGTTCAATAGAAAATAAGAATTATTACAATTATAACATTTTACAATACTGAGTTGAGTTTTAATCATTTCTGAAATTATTTCACTTATTATTGGTTCATTTATATATTGTAGACACAGGCGTGGGATTATTCATTTCATCTGAACACTTGTCTTATTGTTAAAGAATATAAGAGAGCAAAAACATGTAAAAGACATTCTGTTTCTAAATTTGGTAACATTTCTGATACTGTGCTGGTAAAGGGCTCTTCACTGTGCCGTTACCACTAATAGGTGAGTACAGAATGTTCTAGAGGTGGATTCAGTTCTGAGGTAGGCAGCTCAAAGCACTTCACTCTTTTTGCGTCTCCATTTAATCAGAGACAAAAGGCCAAGGAACAACAGTAACGAGCTACTCTGTCCTGGATTAATCAGTAGGCGTGTTTAATATCCCTGTCTGCCTGTATTAGCGTGTGTGTGTGTGTGTGTGTGTGTGTGTGTGTGTGTGTATAGGCTAGTTCTATTAAAAAAGCACTTAAAACAATTTTCTTTGTCTGCTGCCTCACAGTATCTGATTGGACCGATCTAAAAGTATCTCTGCGTCAAGGTTTATAGGCAGCTTTGTGTGTGGGCATGCATGTGCTCATATAGTGTGTGTATACAGGCTTGTAGGTATGTATTCATACATTGATGTGATGCATTTATGTGTACAGTACTTAAGCGTGCGTGCGTGCGCGTGTGTGTGTGTGTGTGTGTGTGTGTGTTTCTCCTGCTATTTTTTCTGAGACCTTGTTTACTGTGCTCTTTCTAAATGTCAGCACTGTCAGTCAGGCCCTCCCATAAGCCCCAGTCCGTGCTGTTGGGCCCTCCCTGTGTTTATCTCTGCCGACAGGTGGACTCTATGAGTCTCCACCTTCACTCCATCCATCCATCCACCCGTTTACTTCCTCTCTAATCACCTCTTTTCAGTCTTCCTCTTCTCTCGTCTGCTCTGCTTTCCATCCTTCATAGATCTCTCTGCCTCTTCCAGTGGTTGTGTTTGACTAAGAATGCATGTGTGCCACATCCCCTCCCATCTCATGGCTTGACTCATGCTACCTGTTTCACCTGGCACACCTACCTCTGCCGAACAGCTGCGCACACAAAAAGTGCGGTAGATAAAACACATGCCAATGTGTCCCTCAGCAAAACACTTAACCCCTAGTTGCTCCAGAGGCATGCAACCTCTGACATATACAGCAATTGTTAGTTGTTTTGGATTATTGGTCAGCTAAATAAGTAAATATTAATGTAAATGTAATGTAGTTGTTTCATGCAACCTCCAGGATCATAAGCAGAAATGCTAATCACATCTAATGCTAACCACATCTAACTAGGGCTGAAACGATTCATTGATTAAATCGATTAATAAAATGCTTCGACACAATCCAATCGTTTAATCCATATAACTATTTAGCACACTGTTTCGCAGGGACATTTATTACCGTTGCACATCG